GTATTTCTGCCAAAAGCTTTTCTTTCAGTCTGGTAGAGTTCACATCAGGTATATCTGTTCCAAATTGTTCAAGTCTTTCCTTATAAAAACACACCAAGTTAACAAGTCAAAATGAAACAGGCCCATCACCGGTGCATTTTTGATTGCCCTTCTCCTGGATCATTTTGAATTTCAACTGCTCTTTTAGTGGCACGCTCAAGTTTATAGCGGTCAAAAATTTTCCAACAATTTTGGTGGTACTTGGCACTATTTTGCCTCAGTGTATCCTCAATACCACTTCCTCCATCCAATCTGGATGGGTCTAACCTGATCAGTAATTGGTGGATTGCATGAAATTGTGGTAGGTGTTTTGGAATGCGTCACGAAAAAATAAATGACTTCGTCTCTTTCTCTCCTGCTGTCATAGCGACGGACACAGTCTCCACTTCTGAGACTGAAAAACTGCCCTCCTTCTCATTCCAGCCCTTTACATAGAGCTTGGTAACTCACCTATGCAAAACACCAACAAGCCAGCTACCAATCACAATTCCCGCGCCTGCCCACCTCCACTCACTTTGGGGGTTTCAAGTTGACCGACCAACTCATTACACGCCCCCACTGATCTTAAGATCACAAAGCTTCTCAGTTCGAGAGATGGTCGCGTCTGTCTGGTGACTGCGTCTGCATATATACAACTTGCACGCTTGACATATTGGGATAGCCACACATGTGCGAACTCGTTTGCTCTGAGGTGGCAGATTTACAGATTCATCCCATGTCTCGCTGTCATGCTCGCACAATGTGCAACTCGGGGCAGGCCTCTTCTGAGCAGGATGACAGGGTCCTCATCCTCGGATGTACTCTCATCCGTTGAGCTACTATCCGCCTCTGGACAGCTGGCCACGTTGACATCCGCAGGTAGAGTACTGATGTTTGAGGTAGAACTCAGTGGATCCGACTTTAAATACACCACTTGCACACCATCTTCAGAGTCACTTTCATCATCTAATGACAGTTTTAACCCTACAACTGGCTGCAAGTCTTTAACATGATGAGGCACGCCATCAACCCGCACTGACTGCGGGCTGATAATCTCGGTAACATGCCCCATTCTAAGCTTGTCCGTACACTTGCTGTGTGGGGTCTTAACCCACACTACATCACCAATTCTGTATTTACCTTGCGCATCGCTCGGAGCCATTGCAATGTCAATGCCTCGCAGCCGTAAGTGATAGGCGTGCACCATGTTAGCCAGTGCTGTTGTAGGCAAAACACCATCTTTAGGCATCACATTATACCAATAGACTGTTTCAGGGATTGAACATCGCTTCCTGGCTACAATCACTTTTATAGACCGGTGGCTCCTTTCTACTATGTCGTTTCCTGCCGGCACGTAGGCGCACCGGAACCGAAGCTGCACACTCCACTTCTTTAAGAACTGCAAGAATTGCTCTGAAGAAAACGCCGCACCATTATCCATCAATATTTCTACAGGTGACCTACTTTATGACATTGGAAACATCGTAGATCGAAACATGCCTTTCGCGCCGACCTGCTGCGCATTGCTTTGCGTTGATAGCGGCAGTCTTTGGCAAAATGATTCGGCCCAGAGCACCGATAGCAGGTGGCAACGCCATGGTGACGAATGGCTGGGGTCGGACCTTCTTTGACTTCAATTGGTTGAACAACCGCGCCACTGGTTCATCAGCCTCTTTTTTTCGCCGATCATGACAGCACGGGCTCTGGTCAACAATTGATTGAGCGTCAGGTCTTCCATTCTGGATGATGCGTGGAGTATCTGCTTAACATGACTGGGCAATCCAGAAACGAAGGCACATGTCATCCATTCTTCAGGAAGCGGTGTGATTGGAACGGCGAGCTTCTTTAATTCTGCCAAATATATGTCTACTGTCTCACCAGGTCGCAGACGCAGCGCCTGGAATTGGTCATAGGCCACAAACTGGTCAGTTCCAAACACGGTTAGTAGAACGTGCTTTATTTGCTCAATGTCACTTTTCTGTTCTTTGCTCAGCTGCCTATACACAGCAAGGGCGCCGCCTTTCAATCGCAGTGGAAGAATCCGTTCAATCTTCGTGATCTCGCATAATTCGCAGACCAGTTCCACTTTTTCAATCCATTCAACCACAGACTGTCCACTCGTATCACCACTGAATTTGGAGATCAGTTTTATGTTGAACGGTCTTTCTGCCATCTCTGCTGGAGACAAAGTAAATGCTGAAGTAGCTTGTGTTGAAATGTGTCACGAAAAAATAAATGACTTCGTCTCTTTCTCTCCTGCTGTCATAGCGACGGACAGAATCTCCACTTCTGAGACTGAAAACTGACCTCCTTCTCATTCCAGCCCTTTACATAGAGCTTGGTAACTCACCTATGCAAAACACCAACAAGCCAGCTACCAATCACAGTTCCCGCGCCTGCCCACCTCCACTCACTTTGGGGGTTTCAAGTTGACCGACCAACTCATTACAGTAGGTTTTTTGCTATCATGGAATAACCATCAAAACAAGTTGGGGGAGACTTCAACTCTTCTTTTGTATCAGTCTGTCAGAGGCAATACTTCCTCTAGTCAGTTTTAGGAGTACAACTCAATGGATTATTGGTGGACATATTGAACAGCTTAAAGCTGAGGGTTTATCCTTTTACCACATAACTGCACAAAATACATAAGCACATTGAGATATGGAATACAATTAGGTTCATATATACAAATGCCTTACACTGAACCTGATTGTTCAACTATTGACATTTAACTACCATGCAATCTATACACCTTTCGATTACCCTTGGCTCAGCTCCCTTGCGCTGACACATCCTGTCAATTCAGGCGCAGCTATCTAATAGTGTAATACTACACATAGCTATACTTCTTGCTGAAATATATACAGGGGTTTATTAGATAGCATTTGGGACACTCAAGCATACTACAAACTGCAGTTTAGGTTATTAAACTCCAGCTACAAGTAGTACACTATAAGCCGACACTAAACCTTATGCTCAGTCTCACAGCAGTGATGTCACCAGTGTAACTTGGTTGTGATTTAACATCACTCTCATTCACATAATGTAATAGAGCTTGACTGCATCACCTCAATATATGATCACAGATGTTGTGCAGCAATATCTGACCGCCATCTTGAAAACTGGTAAGCATTTTTGAATATTAGTGCCAAAATATATTTCTCCAGTCAAAATACAATCTATTTAACATTTGGATCAATAACATGTTCTGATTTATAGATGTTTAACACTGAAAACCCTTTTTCCTATTTTAATAAATGGCCATCTTAAAAAATGGCAGCCATTTTATTTCTCAATGTGGGTAACATACTTTTCCGAGAGAATGGGTCCTGGAGCAGATGTATACCAAATTTGGAACTTGTACCATCAAGTGAAAGATTCTTGTGGGATACTGCACCACTACAAGCCCTTTCAACTGTAAGATGAGACCTATTTCTAGTACTACACTTAAAGTCTCAGTACCAAAGAGGAAAGTTCATCAAAACAATTACCATGAAAATATTTCTAAAAAAAGCACAGGAAGCTATGTTACACTAGTGGGAAAGTGACTGAAGCCGAGATGCCAGGTCAGGACCAATAACATTGCAGATTATTCTTCGTAATTTATCAAGAAGCTCTAAATATATAGCAGAAGCACCAAACCAGATGTGACAGCAATATTCAATACATGGATAAAGGGTATACTTATGTGTAAGATTCTAATGAGAAACATTGTCTTGCATGACACAGTGAACCAACTTTCTGAGCAGCAAACCTAGCAATTGATTCAATATAATCTAGCCAGGGAAGAGCACAATGAGACTCTCTTGGAGGTTAGCATCAGCCATGCTGATGGAAGGCAGAAATGGTTCTCTCAGACAATTAAAAAAGCATTGGTGACAGCAACTATGAGTTCAATCTCTAGGCCAAGTAGTGCAAAACTAGACTCAGTGGAAACAGGATGAGCAATAACTGAGTGATAATAAATAAGACACCCCTAGACATTTAAATAAAGAGTTCATCTCAAAATCCCCTGAAAGTTACAACAAGCACATGAAAAAGGCCAGAGAGCACAATGGTAGTTTATCAACTTCTATACCCACAGTTTTTATCATGACGGAATAAATTCTCAGATAATCCTAGACAGTTATGTGTAAATTCTAATGCTAATACTTTGACTAATAAACTTGTGCTTGAGGCAGATGACATTTTCAAGTTTATGGTTCATATAAGTAAGTGGCAACTCAACTTGGGTTACAAATTAAATTCATAGTTCAATCTGTATTGGTTAGGTTCTTCACAATTGTCTTTCATATTAAGAATTAGTTGCACAGCCTTGATGTAATGTAGCAGGAGACAGTACAATATATGCATAAAGACTCACTCATGGGAGTTACTTAGAAGACACAAAACTTTTTTGTCAGTTCCAATTTTCTCCCCATCATACTCATATAAAGTATTTTCATTATATATTTTAAGACATTTTATGTTTATACATTCTTTTTATAGATACAAATATTTAAGTAAATGCTCTGTTTATAATAAACAGTATTAAACAACATTTACCGGCCTGAATGTCCGAGAAAACAGTAAAAAAAAAGTAAACAGGGCATTTACTTAAATATTTGTATCTATAAAAAGAATGTATAAACATAAAATGTCTTAAAATAATTGTTGACTTTGTCCATTTCATATATATATATATATATATATATATATATATATATATATATATGTGTGTGTGTGTGTGTGTGTGTCAGATTTTTCCCAAAATCATCCAATATCACTTATAAGAGTGTAAAGGGGGATTTTTCTTTCTAACATCATTTCCCCCCATGTATTCTTTGCACTATTATAAGAACATCCTAATAAATATCAAAATATCCAAACAACTTTCTCAATAAAATGAAAGGCATACTGTAAACAAAAACTCGAGCATCAACAAGCATGATCTATGCAAAATAATTTAACATACAATTGTCACTAAGATTAAAAACTCTTACCTGCTGCACTTTCTGAGGAGATATCCTGCTGTGGCATCCTGTCAAGAGGGTCATGTCCAGTTTTACTGACCAACTGCTCTCTAAGACTTTGGAGCTGCATTTTTAAACACTCATAGCTGGCAATATGAAGAGTTTGTATCCACTGATCACGGGCCTCTTCTGTGTTAGTTGCAAAATGGATTGGATTTTCTTCACCTTCATACACTAAATAGAATAAAATTGTAATTGAATTTATTTGCACAGTAAAACTCAAAATACAAAAGAGAAAACAAATCATGGATAATTCATTTGTTGACTGAGCAACCAACAAAATATTATAACAAATCTACCATGAGTTCTCTATTAACTAATATGTTGCCAGGTTAGTGACAGGTTAAAAGGGTCTATATTTCATAACTTGAACATGGTTAGTAGAAACATGAAAATAAAGCAAAAACACTTGGGTTCCATATATTAAACAAGTGATTTAAATTATAAAAATGAATACTTTACCACTTAAAAAATTAAAGAGGATTGATTACATAATAATTTTAATAATCTTACCAAGTCATGTAATTATAAAATTATTATTCATGTTTATTTATTTGCAAAACATTTTTTTTTTTTGCAACACCAGATATTCCTAATATGAGAGATTAACAGAACATTCAATATATTTACCTTGTTCAAAAAGTGACAATGAACTGTGTATTTACTAAAGTATTTATTTTATAATAATTAATAATTCAATGTTCCTTTATTACCTCTTGTAAACTTACAGATGGAGAGTTGCATTTCAGATTCTAAATCAAATCCAGCCACTGAACATTATCTGGTGGAAACATGATCAAAATGTCAGCAAAAGCATTCCACATTTCTTGTTTATTAATTTGAGTCACTGTTGGTGTTAATATGTAAATAACATGATATACTTACCCAACATGAAACCATGTAAGTGTTCTTCATCAAGATCTAATTCTACAGTGCACCGTTCAATAATCAACACACCTAGTGGATCTGCATTCTGTCCAAGAAAAAAAAAAAAAAAAAGATTATAAAGCAGTTCTGAATATGATTATCACAATTCCTATTGGTTTCAAGTAGTTGTCATTAGAAAGACTAAACATATATATGGTTTGATTTGTTTTACAGCAAGACAACCCTTAACATATATATGACATACATTATATATTAGAGGATGTGTGTTACTGATTAAGGCCCTATCAGGTTTAGTAAACGAGGACTCAAGATGATGTTGAGAAATCAAAATTTAATTGATACGATTAAGAGCTACAGAAATTATACATCTTTGCAATTTTGGAAACAAAGAAACAAATATAAATTTTTATAGTGCAGAAAAAATATTATTTACAATTTTAAATAGTTTATTCAGTTACGTATTTTTATACACCCAATATAAAAAGTAAAAAATACCATTATCTTTTATTTTCAAGAATTTTATGTTAAACAATATTTTTTATAATAAAAATTTCCTTTTCTTTCATATTGTTTTTTTTCTACAGGTACACTATCCCTAATCCAAAATCCTTGGGAGGTCAGCTGTGTTTTAGATTTTAGACCTTCTTCAGATTATAGAAGATTTTCTGCTCCCTGCTAAATTTGCATTGTTCAAAGCCAGTAATTAACTGGTCACACATTTTCACCAGATCCTCTATTTATGTTATTTTTCTCACCAGTCATCATCATCATTACGATTGTCATTGTTCTTATCTGTACTTAACACCATGTTGATAACAGCTTACATCACTCATTTACAACACTGCAGGACCAACCATATCTCCAGAACTTCTATACAGCTACACCGGGCTATGGTCTCACTTTCCATTAATCGCACTCCATGGAAAAAAGTAGTTTTCCAAACTTTTTGAACTTTAGATATTCAGATTAGAGATGCTGGACCTCTATTGGAATATTAATCAATTTCTTAAGGTAGAAACGGGGAAAAGTGGATAATTTAATGGCCTCAGAATGGAATTTAAAGTTTGTTTTTTTTTGCGCCACAATTTATTTTGTTGATGGCAATATACCGGTTAAATTTAACCATGCACAAAAATTGAACACAAGTACTCAGTAAGTTCCAAATATTAGTGCTACCATGATTAAATTATTTCCTTCAATTTCTCCCCAGCTCCACACACCCAGATACAGTATTTATTTGATATGTCACATTTTATCATTTTTAAAATAATTTTCTCCACAAAATAATTATTCCACATTTACTAAACTTGCACAAAAATTCCCAACAAGAAGTCTATTTGAACCCAAACACTTATTTTATAAGCTGAAATTCCCACTGGCAGGATTAATCCAGATGGGATTTGTATTTGATACAAAAGAATAGGGATTTTTACTGAAACCAAAGAAAAATTTTCACATTTTTTTTTTTCAGACTAATAAAAAACAGATCACAACCCAGAAAAAAAAAAAAAAAAAAAAAATGTCTGTGCTGAATATCACCCCCCCCCCCATCAAAACAATGGTCTTTTGTTTCTCTGTTGGCTTATTAAAAATATTAAGAAAAAAGTAAATTATAACCATTTTGGATACAAAGAAGGAGAAAGGTTTAACTTGCAGATAAACCTGCCCAGTCAGAGTAACTATTATTACTGTTGTATAAATAAATATTTATATAAAAAAAAAAAAAAAAACACACACACAGTCACAAGTTCACACAGCTGCATGCACACACACAAATAGTTGCAAATCCACTCTTCCTGTGATAAGCTTTCCTCACCCCTACTTGTTCACTGCCATGCCACTGATTTTTATAGTTATTTTCCAAGCATAGCTTAGATGTGGCACAAGGCCGAAAGTATGAGGCACCCAGTGAGAATCAAACTCACTACTCCGTCGTAACTGTTTTAGCGAGACAAGCTTGCTAACCATTACACCACGCCGAGGTGCCTTGCCACTGATTTTTATATGTGTTCAAAAGGTAAGTATGCTAATCCACAGGCAAACATCTGAGGCTATTCAATCTGCTCTGGTTTTTGTTTGTATTAGGTTTGTTTTTTTAAGGTAAGTAGATTTCTTCTCAACATTTATACAGTTAGAAAAATCTCTCAAATATAATGGAAGCATAAATGTGCAAATGGACATAAGTTTTTTTTGTTTTGTTTTTTTAATAGCAACCATTACAAGAATCAGTTTGAAGAAGTTTGGATAGTAAAATGATAACAGTAATGGTAAATAAACCATTTACATACAGGAAATGTCCAGCATTTCTTCACTGAACAGTTAATGTTAGTTGAAATTTATCAAAACAGTTTTTCAAGAAACAACTAAATGTTATAGCTCTTTCTAGTAGTGATGGGAGTTTCCTTCCAAACATTTTGTTTTTGATAGTGCAAAAATTTTACAGCAATTTTTTTCATATCATTATTTTTCTCTTCTAGTTACATGTGCTACTCATTTTTGTTGCTGATGTTGTTGCTACTGTTAATAGTGTTTATGCTTTTGTTATGGCAGTTGTTACTGAAGTTAAATAACACTTAAGCGTGATTACTTAACATTATTTGTCAAACTACAAAACTTTACTGAAACAACCATAGGGCATAACTACCAATGTCCTACCTTAATAAGTAACAAAATGTAAACTCCCGATTTAAAGGATGTAGTCGATAATGTTTGCTGCTCCCCACCTTAAAGTTTCTATAACAGACCTGATGGATATCGTTACAAAAACTGTTCATGAAGCCAAACCTTAATAATTACATTTATTCTTATTTATATTAGTAGAATGTTCATAATGTTGCATGGCATCCAATTTTTATCAAGGAAAAAAAAAATGTAAAGAGAAATGAAAATTCTTAAAGATTCCATTTTCAAGACTGAATATCTTGTTTGTTATTTTTTTTTTCATGTTGCTTAGCAGGTTCCATACTGATTTCTATCAGATGGCCACCAGTGTCTGTGCCAGGAATGGCAGGTGTGTGTCTTTTTGGTTGAGAAGAGCCTTTTTTGAAACTTGGAGGTATTATCATTAAGTAGAACCAGCCAATTGTTATTAATTTGATGTGGATTATTTCTTTGTTCAATGTCTTAGTGAATTGGTGACTGAGAATATGTGTGTATTTACATTGTTGCCTTGTATTTCTGTCTGGTTAAGGCACGCCAATTGGGTTTATTTAAGATTTTCAAACATTCTACGATTATATGACAAAACTATCAAACTTAAAGGGATTTAAGATTGAGATAATCTGACAATTTTTTTTCCAAGTTTACTAGGCTAAATTTCTGATTATTCCAAATTTAACCCTTGATAAGCAATTCTATCTTGAAAAATTATATTTCTTTAGAGAAAAACTAGTCTTTTATTAGTTTTATTTTTTTTAATATTGAAACATAATGTAGTAATGGTAACACTTCTTTATACATTGTCAATAATCTCCTCAGAAATTTAATTGGAAAACTTTCAACAAATCATTGTTCAATAGATTCTAAACTGAAACCTTGCACCATCAACCAAGAAATAGAAAATCCCTTCTTTAAGCAAGTTTATGACTAACAGAAAAAAAACTCAGAATATAAATATTTACTTTTATGACTTCTTCTGGTGCACTTAGCTTAAACATTAGAATCAGAGTTGATATTTGAGACTAAACATTAGATGCAGACCTCAACAAAATTTTGAACAATGATATATGATCGAGAGTTTGTAAGGGTGTAGTGGTTAATAAGATAGTCTTACAAGCCATTACTGTTTGGGAGATGGGGCTCTATTATTGCAAATCTGTGCAAGATGAAGCTAAATAAATATCTACAATAATATGCAACTACATTCTGAAGGGTTTTATCAACTAATGTCAGTTAAAACATAATACAACAAGAATAAAAAAAAATGTAAGAAATTCAAGTAAATTACTTACAGTGACTTCCTTGTTCTTGAAATAAAATAGCATGTTTCCTTTCAACCGACAGAATCGTTCCACAAATGCTGTAAGGAAAGAAAGTAAATATCAGATTCAAAAGTAAACTTTTACAAAATCTCATTAAGTCAA